CCTGCCGCCTACGAGCCCATTGTCACCTCCTCACCCGTTGATTCGCTGCCGGATGCACCTGCGTTCACAAGTCACCCAGGCGCCGACGTAGAAGCAGAACCACACCCAGAACTAACCACGCACGTGCCAGGCGACCACATGGCCCACAACAACCAGGCACACAACAACGGAACGCCTGCAGCACACAGTCCGCAATTCGATCCACGCGCGCTTCTCAATCCGAACTCGTCGACTCCTAAGCGCCCTGCGTCATCCGGTAACGACACTGACCGCGGCCGTACTGACCCCACTATTGCTGGTCAAGTCTCGCTCGTCGAACGCCTACACAACGTTCAAGAGCGTACGTCATCACCTGCCAAGCGCATAAAGACTGAGCGGAAGAACGGCAATCGGCCCAACTTCGCTGGTGGGAGTGCACTTGAGCTTCAAGCCGGACAATCACCTGCCCCGCCGCCGCAACAAGGACCCGCAATCGACTTGACCATGAGCGACGACGAAGACGAGATCCAGGTCGTTCACGACAATAGCAACGATGACATCTGCATTGGCAAGCTCAAGCAGACCTATATCCAGGCTCACGTGGTCCCTTTTCCCGACCCTAAGAAGTTCCATGGCAATCATGGTGGCCAAAGCAGAATCAAGGTATCCTTCCGCCGGGGTGGCGGCCACAAGGGAAACCAGATCATCATGGTAAGATTGCAGTTCAACATACATGTGTGACATAAACTAACCAATACCTAGGTGCTTGACGGTATGGGTAAAGAGTTCGGCAGAGTCGACATGAAGACCGCACAAGGTCTCACACCACTGATCGATAGCGCGCAAACCAACGGTCTAAAGTGGCTGGCCTGGACTGAACCACGCCGAAAGCTTCCCAACGAAGGACCGCCTGGCAGTCAAATCTCTGCGCTTGTCGGTATGACTTTACAACTGTACTGCCCTCGTAAGTCTGCGGATCACCTTGGAAGGTATCTCAGAAGTAAGAACCTCATCCTTGAGAACCCCGTCTTCGAACTCGCGCGCCATGATTACTACAACCCACAGTCCAAGGAGGGGTTCCAGAAGAATCAAGTAGGACAACCCGATTTCCAGCCGTCCACCCAGTACGCCGTTGGCGCTGCCACAAACACCTACGTCCTTCGCAGTGTCGACGAGATCCGCGCTGATGTCGAAGACGTCTTCGACACGGTTGTGAGTGGCTCGGAAGAAGTTCCGATTCGAGAGCCTTCAACGCTCATCAAAACCGACCTGTACCCTCACCAAAAGCAGGCGCTTTACTTCATGGTCGACCACGAACAAGAACATCCGCCAGACGTTTACGATAAACGCAAGGACTCATTATGGGCCCCGAAGTATCGGGATAACGGACGCAAGTACTACATGCATATCATCACCGGCGAACAGACGGAAGATCAACCTAGACCTAGTCTTGGGGGTATTCTGGCTGACGAGATGGGATTGGGTAAGACACTCAGCATTCTATCACTCATCTGCGACGATGCCTCGATTGTATCCGCCAAAGACTTCTGCCAGAAGCGGCCACCTCCGAGGCCCTACCCAGGCATGATCCAGCCCACCATCAACAGTCGCGCAACACTTCTTGTTTGTCCTCTCAGCACCATGACGAACTGGAAGGAGCAGATCAAGGACCACTTTCCACAGGGCACAAGCACCCTGAAGTGGAAGCGGTACCACGGCTCAGAGCGGTTCAGCATAACACCTGAGGTCCTTGCAGATCACGACATAATCTTAACAACGTACCACATCATCGCGAAAGACCTCACAGACAAGAAACGAGCGTTGCCCTACATCAACTGGTTCCGCATTGTTCTGGATGAAGCACATACAATTCGCAACCCGACCAACCAGTCCAAGGCAGCATGTACGATGATGGGTCAACGTCGTTGGGCTGTAACCGGTACGCCTGTTCAGAATCGACTTGAAGATCTGGGTGCTCTCTTCAACTTCATCAAGTTGAAGCCTTTCGATACTCCCAGCGGCTTCAACCAGTTCATCCTCGGTCCTTTCAAGAACGCCGACCCCAACGTTGTAACGAAGCTTCAGCTGCTTGTCAGCACCGTTACCATTCGTCGTACCAAGGAGATCATCAAGGACGAGGTCCCCAAAAAGCTTGACTACGTTGTCAGATTGCAGTTCTCTAAGGAAGAGCAGCAGTTACATGACTGGTTCGAGAGGGATACTCAACGCAAGGTGAATGCTGTCACCCAGGGCGATAAGATGGGTGGACGATCATACGCCAAGATCTTGACCGCCATCCTAAATCTTCGATTGATCTGCGCTCATGGTCGTGATCTGCTCAGTGAAGAAGCGCTCAAGACTACCGACGGCATGACCTATGAGAAGCCCATGGAGATAGATGAGGAGGACAGCGATAGGCCACAGCTCGTAAGTACTATCCGCATACAAACTGTTGTGAGACATTCACTGACTTCGTTCATCAATATTTAGACACGTCAACAAGCCTACGAGATGCTCACTCTCCTCGATTCGACGAGTGCAGCGGACTGCCTGTACTGCCCAGATAAGAAGTCTTTATTAGAGGATGATTCCGATGACGACGAAGATGAAGATGGCAACGTCCAGGAAGATATTGGCTACATGACCACATGCTACCACCTCGTCTGCCCACGTCACATCAAGAAGCTGAAGGACCAGTGGAAAAATAACCTCATGGCAGATGGTTCAGTTCGTTGCCACGTTTGTGACGACGTCAACCGGCCCACGGTCCTCAAGCTCGAACGCACGGACTACTACAACTACATCGAGGAGCAGAATCAGATCCGAAAAGACCCAAAACTGGCGAAGAAGATCGGAAGCTACACTGGCCCGCATACAAAGACCCAGGCTCTACTCAACGACCTGCAAGAGTTCCGCGTATGGAGCGAGCAAAATCCAGATGAGAGGCCGATCAAAAGGTGAGTTGATACCTACATTACCACACCGAGACGTGCTTTACTGACCTTCACAGCATTGTATTCTCCTCATGGACCACACACCTCGACCTCATCGAAATTGCTCTCAAAAACGCCGGCCACTCTCTCGTCCGCCTCGATGGCCGCATGTCGCGCGAAAACCGCGACAAGTCTATGCAGGCACTCCGCGAGAATCCTGCAGTCCGCGTCATGCTTGTATCTATTGGCGCAGGAGGTCTCGGTCTCAATCTTACAACAGCCAACAAAGTGTTCATGATGGAGCCGCAGTTCAATCCGGCAGCTGAGGCGCAAGCTGTTGATCGTGTTCATCGGCTTGGTCAAGATAGGGAGGTTACTATCAAGCGCTTTATCATGCAGAACAGCTTTGAAGAGAAGATGCTAGTACTCCAGGATAAGAAAAAGGCTCTAGCTAATATGACGATGGCAAGGGAGCGCAAGGGCAAGGAGGAGGCTACGAAGCAGAGGCTGGAGGAGCTGAGGAGTCTCTTTAGATAGAGGGCATGGGACTTCATGGTGGGGAAAATGGCTGCTTTTGGTGCGTGGGCTGCTCTAGGGAGGGCAGAAAAGGCGGTACCTTTGCACGGAATCTCATGGTATCCGGACGGATACATCTGCGGGATTAGTGACTCCTGGGGAGTTTTCAGTCTTACGTAGCCTCTAGGCTTCGGCCTAATATTCTTGATACACTATAACTCATCTCATGTCCTGCAGCCTACATGGATATTAAACCCTAAAATGGACGAGATGCTAAGGCGATGTAGGCTTCTGGGTCGCTTTGTTTACATTGTTGTTAGTGGACTCTGAAGCCTACAACAGCATCAAGCATCAACATTTAGAACATTTGAGGGCAACGTAGACGTCTAAGTGATTTACTTTACGCCAACCTTACTTGCTCTCCTTCAATTTGATCAAGAGATCCTCCATACTAGACGCATACAAATCGAACTCGCCGAAGACATCCGTACATGGATCGTGTTCTTCAAAGTCCAAGTACGCAGTCTTGAACCCAGCCTTCCTCGCCGCAATCAGATCCCATGCATGCGCGGCAACAAACCACCTCTCCTCAATCCCCTTCGCCAACCCCCTCTCCGTCAAATGCCTATCCGCATTCTCATACACTCTCACATCTGGTTTCGCAATCTTGATAGCATCACAACTAAGCAAATGCTCTGCATCCAACTCAATCCCCGCATTATGATAATACGCCAAACTTGTCTCAGACCCCCCATTCGTAACACCATAAACATCCCACCCCGCCTCTCTCAGCCCATCAAAACAAGTCTTCAGCCCATCCCGCGGCCCCATGGCTTTAAACGCTTTCATTACTTCGTCGACGTCCTCGTCGGTGATGGCGTCGAGGGGTAGATCGACCACGGCACATGCGCGGCGGAAAGTCGACTTAAGGACTTGTGCGATGGGCACGTAGGAGCCGCTCATGGATACATATGTGAAGTCGCGCTGCGCGGCGTAGAACCAGCTGAAGAAGAGGGTTTTGGGGTCCACGGCTGCGGTGGTGAGTTTGGGGCCGAGACGCGATTGGATGGTGGCGATGGGGGCAGAGAAGGCGAAACATGTGCCTATTACGTCGAAGGAGGCGGATTTTGCCATTTTGGATGATTTCGGGGTTGCAATTGATTCTGGTGAGGTGGGATCTTCCCGCTGGGGATGGAGGGCGTGGGGTGTGTAAGCCGAGGATGCCACCGAATTGGGTTGAAGACCCTGTGACGTCAGCCTTTCCGGGGATGAGGCCGAACGGCTACCCCCAGCGCTGCTACTTGCATCTCATACCAGCGATATGCTCTCGGCGAAGCAAAAACTTAGGCTCGGTGATGAGGTATGCCTGGAGGTCCTTCACCAGCCCACGTGCTCCGCGCGCGGATCGAGGGATGATTTTTACTGGGGCTGAACGGAGGCGCCTTGCCTGTTACAACCCCTGCAAGCCTTGCTCAGCCGTACCTCTAGGTATCAACGTGAGATATAAGCTGAGCCTTTCCTGCATTTTCCATCTATATTTCATCCTCGTTTTCTTGCGTTTGAGCTTCCGCAATGCCTAGCATAGCGAAAACCGTGTACTGGGCCCTCGTCGTAGCGTGGGGCGCGTCGCTCTACCAAATCTATCTGAAAGATCTTTTTGCAATTACCTTTGGTGTTGGGCGCGTGATACAGAGCATCGACGACTTTCCAGAGTTTAGTTGTCGCCGTCTGGTGCATCCAAGGCTGGAGGCGTGCGAGGATATTTGGCTGGACAATGAGGGAAGAACATTGTATGCGGCGTGCGCAGGTACAGCGCCTAGATTGGCTTGGAATCAAGCGTACGTTATCTCACAGCTATGCCGCTACAAATGAACGCGGTTTCGCTGTCTGAATTACTGACTGGTATAGCATGAATGACCTCAACGTAACTGGACGGCGGCCCGGCGGCTCAGAGCTCCTCGCCTTGGATATAGACGAGCCTGGTGAAGACGGTCTCTACAATCTTCGCAGTATCAAGCCAATCGGCCATTATAAAGGAGTAGATGGTGGCTCTGATCTCGATCTTCTGGGCTTCGATGTCCAGATCTTGGACGACAACACCATGCGCTTCTACTTTGTCAACCAACGACCACCAGTCGATGCGTCCAATAGCATTGTCGATGCTTCTGAAAGTGGCGCGAACTCAACAATCGAGATCTTCGAGATGAGAAAGGGTCAAGAACAGATGCTTCATGTCCGAACCGTCTTTTCTGACGAGATTTGGACGCCGAACCGTGTTGCGGCGCTTGGCGATGGCTCTGGTGGATTTCTGGTTACGAACGATCATTCAGTCAAGGTTGGCATGGTACGTGGCAACCGTATCTAATCATATATCAAGTGACTAACGCAAACCAGCGTCTCGCACTCGACTACTTCATCGGTGGAGGAAACGTTGCCTACTGCGACGGAGCTGGGAAGTGTCACGCAGCCTACGACGGCAGTGAGGAACGCCAGTTCACACGATCAGACGCACCCAGTGAGCCAAAGTATAAAGCATACCTTAACAAGGCGCTCAGTTACCTTCCCAAAACGAGGCTCAAGTTCCCCAACGGACTGGCCCTCGGCCGAGACGGCCTCTTCTACGTCCCCAGCACCATCGACGGTCAGATCCGCGTCCTAGCACTCCAGCCCGACAACACCCTCAGCTTGGTCGATACCATTCACGTTGGCATGCCACTCGACAACATCTCACCGGACGCGAACGGTGATATGTACGTCGCAGGTTTCCCGGATCTATACCAATCCAGTAAAGGCTTTGACGATCCTTATAATGGCATTTCACCTGTCACTATCTGGCGTATCAGGAAGACGGTAGATGTAGGGAAGACTGGAGTAAGAAGCGTGGATTATAGGGTTGAGAAGGTTATTGAGGATAAGGATGCGAAGGTGCTGAGTGGGAGTACGACGGTTAGGCATGATGTCAAGACTGGGCGATTGTTTGTCAGTGGTAAGTCGATGATCATGGTGCGCGTTGATGAAATTGTGCTAATCCTCAATAGCTGCGGTGCACCCGTTCCTTGTGGTTTGCGAACCTACGAAATAAACGATCATACCGAGGCTGCATGACATCATGCTCAAGGAAAAGACTAAACGTTCATCTAAAGCTGGCAACCTAGAAGTCTACATTAGTTTCAGACTTTGTTGTTTTTCGTTCTTACGCTAATATAGACTGCAGCGCAACTGTTCAACTTGTTTCTTGTACGAGGTGATCACATGGGGCCCATGAGCAATAGTTTTGAGTTGAATATTCGGTTTTTAGTTTATTTCTGCTGCCACTTTCGCTTTCGGGAGAGGATCTTCGATCAAGCCGTCATCTTTGTGTTCAACGGAAAAGACATCGACAAAGCACAAAGCGCTTTTGGTGAGTCGTACAATAATCCGGCTTTTCGAAAGCATGGGTAGATGACGGAGTACTTTGAGAAAACAGCAGAGAACCGCAGTCATGTGATCCTTGCCTCTAGCTTTTTGATAGTCGAACTTTTGCAGATAAGAGAGAAAGAAGAACAGAAGAGAGAGAATATTGTATACCTTTCAGAAGAGCCCGAAAATCTTGCCACTGGCTTTCCAAAAGACGAAAGCATGTTGCGCTGGTATTTCTGTCTAGGAAAGCTGCGACACTTGCCGGTGTCGCGTAGGCTTTGCATAGACATTCCTCAACTCATTATGTGAGTGATGTACTCGCTACTCCGAAAGCGAAAACAGGACAGACATGCCAGGAAAGCAGTCGAATTTTAGTGGACTGGGCTCGGGAAACATGGATGGTCGACCAAGCGATTTTGGAATTGCACAGATCATAGTGGAGTGCAAAGATGCAGAGAAAGAAGTGGTACAGAAGATAATTTATACAATCACACCAAACGCCATAGAACGCCAAACAGACCCATTTGAATCTGTTCAGTATAATTTCATAAAGCCGTACCATGTTAGTTTCGAAGAAGATGTCCGTATAAGTTTCCGGCGAAATCTGCTAAAATTACATGCCTTGCGACTTTTAGTAGCCATGAGCATATGTCCATAGCCGCATACAGCAGTGTCCTCGAGATCTTTTGAACAGCAAGAACATGGCTTGTAGCGTACATGTAGAGTTCATCATTCTGCTTGATGGTGTAGCAGCTTTCGAATTTCACCAGGCCGAGACATGGAACGTCGCAATCAGGTTTTCGATACAATGTAGGGAAGAATAGAAACTGGACTCATCCAGCTTTGGTAAGCACATTTTGTTCAAATACGAAGATGAAGTGTGTCGATAAGAGAAGACGCCCGCACGCCCGACACTTATATACCTCTCTTCCCCAACCATAGTTCCACATCCGCTCTAGCTTCGTCCACTACCTTGGACCTGCGCAAAAAGACCCCTGGCGTCTCTGCGCCACCTCACCAGCGCCACCAGATTCGCACACGGAGCGCACTGCACCCATGCATGCGTCAAGTTGCAGACCACCTCATCCACCCTCTTCCTATCCCCGTCATCGAGCCCAGCAGCGAAGTCCTCCCAGTTCTTGGCTGTGATGTTTTCGTTGGTCTCGGCTTCGCTGAAGATACGGTAGACCGCCATGGTGACGTCGTTGTCGACCTCTGCAAGGATTTGTTCGCAGCGGTTGGTGGACATTGTTGTATTTGGCTTGGGTGGGGTTCGCAATCGTTTGGGGTGTTGTGGCTTTGATGTAGTTGGCAAAAGTAGTTCATGTATTGCTTCAGGGTAAGTAGGGTATTTATTTGAGGAGGCAATGTGGGTGAGGACGCGGATTATGTACGAAGTGGTAGCCGGCTTCCATGTTTGCGCAGCCCGAAGATTGAATGAGATCACATCGATTGACCCTTCAAGTGTTCGCACCATCGATAAGGCTCAATTTCATTTCCACAAATCAATGTACCGATTTCCAAGGGCGCAATGGACATGCAAGGAATTTCCGTGTCTTTGCTAACAAACTAGAAAGCAGACCAGGCGCAGACATCGCTTCTTGTGGATGACGTTTTGAAGATATAGACACTGTTATGGTATGAAAAGATAGACAGCACGAACGAAGAGGGATGTTGAGCCTCGTCCTCGCCTGCGGGGTTGAAGCAGCCGCACAGGGCAGGCGCGGACATTGGACGGTCTCTTCGTATTTTGAACCCCGCAGACATTAAATCGTTGGGTTCTGTTTTCGAACTGGTCCATTGTTGTATAGGATAAAGATGACATGGTAGAGGAGAAGCCATCGAATTGAGAACTGGGAGATTTTCATGTGAACCACGAGAGTCGGTGCCGCGATCATGTCTTCCCATCCATGGCATTTTAGAAATGAACAGAAGCGAGCCGTCTACCGAGACATGTGTCAGAGTCAACGTAGATTCAAGCTTGCCGTAAGATTGTCAAAAGGCCAGAAAAACAGGCATGGAGTAAGCCTGGACGTGATTTTGGAATTTCAGTGAGAGGAATTCATCTCGACGCAATCATCGATGGTGACCCTGGCAATTTTCGGTTTTCTGTCTGCAAAACAGGATGCAAAGTAGATTTCGTGCAGCAAAGCCCTTAATTTATAGAGAAACCAAGACCAAGGCGCCAACTCAACAGCATCGCCATTTTTGTTGTGCTTTTGTAAGAACGGAAGCAACCTAAAGGCCAGACATCGCAAGGTAGTCCGCCATTTTTGAGTACGAGGACAAAGTCCAAAAACCAAAGACATAGAGCGCGTGCACAATCGTTTCTGGTGTATGCAAAATGCCTCAGGAAGAGAAGACATGCAACAGAAAACGACGTCTTTTGGTATCTTGGGGAAGAGATGGAGAAGGAGAGAGGTGAGTCCACAGGGAGATTTTACAACAACTCGAGATCCCAGTCCACACGCACACCATCAGCTCATCATCGGAAAATTTTAGAGTGAAGCGCAAAGCCGGTGCCGCAGACATCGCCTGCTTCCACGGTCTTTTGGGGGTTTGCTGCTAGAGCCGCATTGGAGAAAGGCAGACATCTTCGTTTCCGTTGAAGATTTTATTCCTTTGCAAGCTTGATCCAGAAACGCAAACATGTGTGGTCGAGTATGCGTTTTTGGCTTTTGGGCAGCTGTTCAGGAGCCACCAGTCATACGATGTAGGGCCCCATCTTTTGATTTGTGCAAAGCTCCGAGAGCGGAAATTCCATTGCACCGTCTTTTTGGGTTTTGGAGAATGTGGTGAGGAAAGGCGCGGAGGCGTAGACATGACTCAGGAGATTGAGGATTTTGAAAAAAAGGAGGGAAGCACCCATGACACGTAACTCCATGGTTTTGGGAAGAAACACTGGGTGAAATATAAGAACAGGAAGACTTGGAAGCCGAGCAAGAAGGTTTATATACACATCCAGGGACAGCGAGCACGTGAGCTCGTGTTGAATGCGATTCAAAAGTGCGCGAGGATAGACTGATGTCAACCCATCGGAGCTCGGCGCATGCCCCGTCGCATGCCGATCCGTGAACACCCGTTGCAGCACCACACGTCAACCCACAACAGCGACTGAGCAGAGAAATGATCAATTCTTCATACCAAGATTAGTCTACCACCAAAATACTATATGCACCTCTATATCCCACTATCCCTCCATCTACCGCTTCACCAACCCAGCAGCAGCAGCCTTCATCTCCGCCTCCTCATTCTTCTTCCTCTGGGCCTCAATCTCAGCCCTCGCCTTCCTCTTCTCCTCCTGTTGCAACTGATCCGGTCTTCGCTCAGCAATGTCCTTTGGCTTGTTATCCGAGAAGAAGAACTTCAGACCCTTCTCGATAATGTAGCAGGCGACGAAATCAAATGCCATGATGCTCGTAATCATGATCTTGAAGTCGGTGGTGAAGGGGACGAGCTTGAGCTTCTCGTTGAGTTCGGGGATGAACTCGGTAGCGCAGGAGAAGGCGACACCGGAGACAGAGACGAGACCCCAGTACATGCCCTTGTTCTCGCGGATGGACTCGCGGAAAGGTCGGCCTTGGTAGTTGATGGCGAAAGTGGAGATTTGTTGAATGAGTTGCAGGAGGTAGATTGCGGAGTTGAGCAGAGATGGCTCAAAGTCCTTCTCTAGATCTGGGTTGGGGTCCTTGGGCTCAACGCGCTGGACGTATTGGCTGACGTAGATGAGGGTGATGATGTGGATAGCGAACTGTCCGAGTACGGAGCCGATGATGTACGTGTTGAAGATGTTGTGTTGAGGACGTTCTTTCGACAGTGTCTCGACGGTCTTTGCGCGCGAGATGGACAGAAAGCAAACGCTCATCATCATACCGGAAATGGTAACCTGACCGTCACCGAACTTGATACCATCCAGGTAGAGGACTGACAGACTGTAGGCGGAGATCAAGCAGTTGAGAGCAAGAATCTTGTACATCTGGATTGTAGCGACGAGTGTGCAACGGCCTTGGCGGATAATGTTGGGAATGGCAACGACGTTGGCGAGCTTAGAGGTGAAGGGCGCAGCGACGGAGGCATCACCAAGCTTGATGGTCGGGGGCTCACCGGCCAATTCTTCCATTTCCTGTGCCATCATCTTCTCTTGCATTTGCTGAGCGAAGTTGGCAGCGGCCTGAGGAGGCTGAACTTGGCCAGGCTGCTGTTGAACGAGGGTACCGGTAGATGCCGATCCATTTGCAACACCGTTGGCTCCTGGGAGAAGACCCTTCCTCTTCGCTTGGTTCTCCATAGCCTTCTCGTAGTGAGGGTTGGTCGGACCAGGTGGGTAGAGATGGGCAATCATGATCGGAACAGGAGGCTGGGGCTGGTTGAAGCGTGTCATGAGGTTGCATTGCTTCTCGTAGACGTTCTTCATCTGGGTGTTACGGAAGTGCTCGCCAATCTTGTCGAGATCCTCGCGAGTACCGTTGAGAAGAGCGACACCAATGTGAGCCTGCTTCAGCGCACCAACATCGTTGGTGCCGTCACCAGCCATGAGTGTAGTGTAACCGCAGTCCTTGAGACCGAGAAGGATTTCCTCCTTCTGCTTTGGCGAGACACGAGCGTAGACCCAGGTGTATCGCAGAATTTGCTTCCATCCAGGCTGGCCAGCGAATTTCGAAAGGGCGTATCCAGTAAGACAGATATCCTTGGACTTCAAGATCTCGGCGTCCAGAGGCTTTGTAGGGTCGACGGGAATGCTGACCTTGTCGTCAACGCTGCGCCAGACAAGCTTCTCGCCCGATTCGTCATTCTCAGGTGCGTCGAGGATGTAGCAGTCGCGGTCGACAATCTCAACCTGCTTAGCGACATGGACAGCGGTCAATGGGTTGTCACCAGTAATCATGACAACACGATGACTGGACTCGTTGAGGGAACGGACAGCCTCGACAGCGTCAGGCTTGAGAGGGCATTGGAGGACGAGGAAACCGGCAAAGTGCAAGTCAGACTCGACTTGCTCACGCTTGAGATCGTTGATGCGGTTCTGGCCCCACTCTCCCTCTTCGGAGATGAACTTGTATGCGAGAGCGAGGACACGGCCACCATTACGGGTGAAGTGCTTGAACGTCTCCTCGTAGTTTGGCGGGGTGTTGACCAACATCTTGCGAATAGTCTCGGGCGCGCCCTTGACTGCAGCGATTGTGCTCTTGACCTTGCGGCCAGTCTTGGTGTTGTTGACGATGACGGTAGCGACGGAGCTCTGGCGTTTGAGAGCAGACGAGAATTGGAAGCGGCGGCGGATGTGTACGAGTTCGGCTTGGGATTTGGGGGTAGTCATGGTGGCTTGAAGTGTGTCCTTCGCTCCGAGTTTCCAGCCGAGAGACTGGAGGGTTGCCTTCTCCATAGGCTCTCCAACAGTTTCACCATCGTCGAGTTTGACCAACGCGTGAGCGGCGGCGAGTACCAGCGTTGTCTCAGTAGCGACGTCTGTAACCTTTGCAAGATCAGTGTGCGCACCGTCTGCTGCAACCGTAGCACCATCCTGGCCCAGTGAAAGTCCAGCAATGCCGTCCACGACCAAGTCTTCACCAGTCAGAGTACCGGTCTTATCGAAGCAGGCAACGTCGACCTGCCCAGCGAAGGGAATGCGGAAGGGCTCGGTACAGAAGATGGCGTACTTGCTCAGAGCAGCGAGGGAGGTGTTGACAGCCAAGCTGAGCTCCATGGGAAGCTCGGGAGGGACGACGCTGGTAACGATGAGGACGCAGTCGAGGAGCAGCTTGTTACGCTGGCGGTCGAGTCTGACACCCTCCTGCCAGACGTACCACGAGGCAGCGACGGCGAAGACGGTAAGGAAGAGAATGAAGAAGAGGGCTTCGACGTTGTTGGCTGAGACGCGCTCGGTAGCGAAGATCATGGTCCTGACGAGGCTGCCCTGGTTGGTCTCGAAACCAGTCTTGATAACAACAGCAACAGCGCCCTTGTCCGGTGGTGGCGGGACTCCAGACGAAAGCCTAGTGACGTTGCCGCCATCCTCCTCAGCGTCGCTACCGTGCGAGACCTGGAGCACCTTGGTGCCGCCCCAGAGGAACGAGTTCTTGTCCAGACCCTCGGGCTCAATGCGCGCATCGCCAGGTCGCAGTTGTACGGATTCCTTGAGCACCGGTGTGCTCTCTCCGGAAAGCATAGCCTCGTTGACAATCGCGGAGCCTTCGAGAAGGAGCATGTCGCATGCCACACCAGAGTCTTCCTTGGTCCGGCCTGCGCTGACGACATCGCCGGGGAGGAGCTTGTCGCTCATGATCTCCTGCCACTTCTTCTGCCTGTACACCAGAATCTCATAGGGCTTGATGCTCATGCCGCGGAACTCGTTCAGGGTCCTCTGTCTCTGCCACACGACGGTGCTCTCGAAAGCGACCAGCATGAACAGGGTGAACAGCGAGTAGTACCAGTATTCGTCCAGCATCCACAGTCCAACGCAGAAGATCTGGAAGACGAAGAAGGGCGCGACGGCGTGTTCCTTGAACAGCTCGGTGAAGGTCGGGACGGGGATATCGAACGCGTTGTCGCCATAGTGCTGGGTGAGGCGCTCAATCTCGGCGGGCGAGGTGAGGCCCTGCGTCTGCTGGAACGTCTTGAGCTGGGGCTTGGGTTCGATATCGAGCGGGTAGGAGAGCGGGGCGAAGGAGCCTTTCTCGGCGTCGTAGAGGAAACGGCGCTTCTGGAAGAGGAAGGAGAGGTTCGACTTTCCGCCCACGTTATCGCGCACCAATGGCACAATCTCAGCGGCACCCGCGTTCTTGACGGGCTGCACTTTGATAAGCGATGCCGAGCGCACGTCGCTGGCCGAGGTGGTGGTGAAGGCGCTCTTGAGGTTGACGTTCCAGTGCGTCATGAGCCAGAAGAGCGACTGGAAGGTGGTGATGCTGGCGACCCAGACAAAGGTCCATTCCGACGACTGGATGTACTGCTCGTAGCGCTGCGGCGAAAAGTATATGGCGGAGAAGGCGGGCCACACTATTAGAAAGGGCCAGATGTACGTGTGCAGCTGCAGCGGCAGCGGGTTGTGCAGGCTGGCCTGCTTGATCTGGGGGTTGTCGACAAGCGGGGCCATGGTTGTGGTTGTCGTGTCCAGACGAACGTCAGTCCTCGAAGATTATTGAGACCCTTTGCCTTCGCGCCCGCCGCCGTCGGCGCTACTTTGCCCGATGCACGTGGCGGAGCATTCACGAACATGGATTGAAAGCGGATTAGCGTCCGCCGTGATTTGTCCGTCTACTGAACTCCTTCATCTCAACGTTCTGTTTCCAGCCTCGACGGCTTCACTCTCTTTGTTCTACATCATCTATCGAACAATGAATACTCCACAGCGGTCGCAGAAAACCCCGCCAACGACCCTCTGCAAAGCGCCGGCCCTCGCAGCCGCATCACTTCTGCCCAGATAGCATCCATCCGATCTTCGAAAAACGTATCCGTCCATGCGACATGCCGCATTTCAAGCTCGAGATGCTGTCTACTACTGATGTGCCTCTTTCCACACAGTTCTGATAGCTGCGCGATCCACCACATGCGCTCTTCCCCTGTAGCGACACAACTCGCAACGACCAGGACCCAAAGCAACATGTTGAGATTCTTCTCTCGCCCCCATGTATTGATTAATGATGAATCTGGTCGATCTATAGCGACACGTAATCGAGACAGAAGGATAGCGAAGATCTTCGTGTTCAGTGGTAGTGCACGAAGTACTGCGTACACGAAGATGAGGGCTGCTGCAAGTAGGGCCTCAACCACACTCGCTGCATCCGCTCTAGCCTTGAGATGATCGTAGCAGTCGCTTTTATGGTCATGGATGCTCTGGTCAAAGCGCAAGAAGTTGTGTGAGTGATCAGGTACTGAGAGGACCGTGAACTGCGTTTCATAGAGGACATTGCTTAGAGTGAGACGTTCGACACAGCCGACCCAGTGCGACGATACTGCTAGCGCGAGTCGATGGAGTTGATAGAATATCTTGAAGCAGTCGACCGCGCCGCAAGAAAGGTGCAGCAGTGACGTTGGCGACGTTTGTGCCGCTTCTTCTCTGAGCTCGTCCGGCAAAGGAGGCGTATCCGGGTCCAGACTTATATGTGCGAATGATGGGTACGTGCGAGAGACTACTGCAGTGTGAAAGTCCATCCTGCCAAATGATTTAGTGGTGAGGTTACGCGATGGAAGGCATTTAGCTTACCATATGATGCCACGCAGCAAGCCATCATTGTGACCAAAGGCAAACAGCCCACCTCGCAGCTTCACCATACGCTTCAGCGCTGTGACGTGAAGTTCAGCCGCTTCATAGTCTCCAAGAAGATTCTGGAACAGTTAGCATGGGTCATTCCACGGGAAGACATGCTCATACCTCGAGATTTGCCAAAGTCAATACAGTACCGACCACCTCATCAGATATACATCCTCCAGACGTCGCAAGTTTGCAGTTGACGGCCTTGATTGCTTCATTCTTGTGCTTGAGTTTGCAAACTCTCAAGTCAGTGGGTTCATTGGCCAGCATGCCGTATAGTGCCCAGCTTGCTAGAGTTGCATGCAGCAAGCCAGCATCACTTGAGATGAGTGATTTCCACGTGTGCTGGGCATCGATGGCGACTGCATTGTTCCTGGGTGCACTTTTGTCTGTCTTGGTGTCAGCGAACGGGGCCCTTGGCTTCAGAATTTGCCCTCGTAGTTGGACAACGTGTATCGACTCTACGTACACAATTGGAATAGCGCATTCAGCCCTGGAGTTTCAGGTATGGGTGAAGCCTTGGAAGGATCTATCCGATCATCATCCAGGCCGCATTTCAGCCCTGGCGCTAGTGTTTCATCCGTGTCTTCTCTCTTGTCTTTGCCATCTTCCCCAGCTTTCGAAGATGTCCTTGGTTCAGACCTATCTCTAAGGTCATTCGGTCTTGCTGCTCCCTTCTCTTTTGATCGCCGTATATCTTCCGTCTTTCTGCTATTGACCTTCTTTTTCTTGATCCGAGGTTCGGATATCCGGAATCGGTTCTTTAGCTTCTTCTTCGCCATGGCTGTGCTGATCGAAGAGTGTTGAGACGGGTTGATCTGCGGTCCAGCCATCTTCATGTCGAAGTGATTGCGCATCACCAGCCGTCGTATCATGTATCGTTCCGCACCAGCTGGGTTATATGGCTTATCCGTCGTTACAAAGAATTCGTACTCGCGCTCCATGATTTTGGTGAGCCTTGTCGATGGATCTGATGTGAGGGGTACCTCCGTGATACAGAATTATAACTACGCAGTCAACAAATAATGGCTTGCGGCAAAATTTAGAGACTGTGGCTGGGGCGTTCGATATACCGCCTGTATATTCAATGTGGTACTTCGGCCTCCGACTACCACACCTCGTCATGTGCAACCATAAGCCACCTCATCGGCCGAAGCAGCGACCTATGCCCGGAGATAAGCTCGCGTAAGTGGTATCGAGTGTATGGGAAGTCATCTTGGCTGGCTTATATAAGACCTATGCTGATTACGGCAGCGGGGTCAACATGCGAGGTACTGTGCCATTGGACAACAGCAACACACGACGCGCGCCTCGTATGCGATAAGCGTCGGGCTTTCCGCCGATGTGTAAAGCGGCTGAGAGGGAAGCGCGGGGGGCCAAAACTCGTATTCTGGTAGCGACGCGCATGGGCGAATGATTCATGCAGCCCTACAGCGCGTCGAGAATCATGACTGCTGCATTTCGGGGATATCTCTACTCTACATACACAACACCTCTACAACCCCGAGTTGAATGCCACACCTTCAACGCCAACAGCCTACCCGAGACTCATTTCCATATCTATTTGCTCTTATCCTCTCTCAGACTGACGATCTGGTTGAGCACAATCTTATCCTCTGTGGAGTCAATATCGACACAGAAGTAAGCAGTGCGCAGCGCCTGGAAGCGCACAAGAGCATCCGACGATCCGCTCAGATCGAGTGAAGTCTCGCTGATGAGATCCTTGATACCCCGCTCGATGACCGCTTTGTCGTGAATGATTTCGGAGTTGGGGTTGAGATCATCAGCCCAGCCGCCCGTCTTCCAGTCCAGTGTGTTGGGTGACTCGGTCTTGAAGAGCGAATTGTACAGACGTGCTGTGACGGGAACGGCTGTTGCAGCGTCCACCCATTGAACGTAGGCTTTCGGCTTCTCGGTACCAGGCACCTTGACAGCCTTGATCTCAGACACGTTGCCGTTCTCGTCCTTGGAGAAAGATGTCGCACGGATCGCGAAGGGAACGTTGTATAGACCCACGGCCTTGTTTGGCGCCAGACGGAAGTAATCGGCGCTGTCCTCCTCTCTGAAGTCGCTGCGATCGATGTAAACGGCACTACCAATCTTCACCTTGCGCTCACCAGATATGGTGCCCTTTGGATCGTACGGTACTGTGATCTCTTGTTCGTCTTCGGTCGCAAAGTCTTCGATGACTACTTTGATGGGGTCGAGCACCATCATCTGACGCGGTACGGTTCGCTCGAGATGTTTGCGAATCGAAGCTTCGAAGCGTGGCGGCTCAATTTCGGAAAGCGAATCCGTGACGCCGAGCTCGTCCACGAAGTTGAGCATGGCCTTGGCTGGGATGCCGCGACGGCGCAGCGCAACCATGGTGAAGAGTCGGGGGTCGTCCCACCCTCGTACTACACCAGGTATCTTTTTGGTCTCGACTGTGCCATCCACGTTCTTCTTTTCGACAGTTGTGCCTTCGACGAGCTGGAGGATGCGTCGCTTCGAGAGGATCGTGCCGCCAACGCTTAGGCGTCCGAACCTACGGGATATTAGCATGGGTGAGTCTAGGTGGGAACCGTCACTTACTCTCGCTGCATTGGTCCCTTCTCCTCCGACTTGGGCACTTTCATGTCCAACTGCTCCAGCAGCCAGTCGTACGAGATACGCGACTGGCGGAACTCGACTGTACACAACGAATGGCTGATTCCCTCGAGAGCATCGCAAATGCAGTGGGTGAAGTCGTAGGTAGGGTAGATTCTCCACTTGTCGCCAGTCCGGTGGTGGTGGTTCTCCTTGACAACGCGGTAGGCGGGCAGATCCCACATCTGCGGGTTGCCCTCATCCGGGTCCGTCAACTTCTGCTTCATGCGCAAGAAAGCCTCTCCAGCCTGGTATTTGCCATCGCGCATCGCCCGGAATTCCGTGAGGGACTCTTCGATCGGCCGCGTGCGGTGTGCGCAGCCATAGCGTTTGCCTCTGTTGTCGGGTCCTCCGCGCTGGTTGTTGATCTCTTCGCCTGCGCCAGAGTTAGTACTGCGCATATGACGATAGCTATGCAGACTTACGTGAGCAGTGGCACACATAGGCGCCGTCCTTCTTGATAAGCTGCTCTGCAAGCTCGTACAGCTTGTCAAAGTTGTCGCTGCTGTATGTGATCTTCCACGGCTCGAAGCCTAGCCACTTGACGATATCCAGGATGGCAGTGAAGTAGATCTCGTCCTCCTTCTCCGGGTTGGTGTCGTCGTATCGCAGGTAGCACTTGCCATTGTGATGCTTTGCGAAGCCAAAGTCGACGGCGATGGCCTTGGCGTGACCGATGTGGAGGAAGCCGTTTGGTTCGGGAGGGAATCGGGTTCTGACTTCTGACACGGGCTTCTCTTCGTAGATGCGCTTCAGCCAGCCCTCAGAGAAGATGCTCGTCGGCTCACTCTTTGTGCTGGGCTTGGCCTGCTCTTTGGGTCGGAGGGCATGCTCGGCCTTCTTGGCCTTTGCTGCTGCTTTCTTCGCGGCCTTCTCGAGCGCACGCTTCGAAGGGCCCTTCTCCTCCTCGGCGGCCGGTGGGGCGGGAGCTGTAGGTTCCGCCATGTCTGCGCGACGTCAGTACACGTGTTGTCGAAGGTGCGTTGTGCGGGATGTACACGTGACTTTACAGCAGAAAGAAGACGCGTCGAGTTCGTTACTTACCAGGAAAGTGTCGATGTTGCGGAGCTCGTGTGCTGCGGGAGGGGCTCTATCAATAACTTTGGAGGGGCATTGACTCAAACGCGCTACACCAGCCACACCCCTGACGCCACACCTACACGGCACCTCAACTTTCCCACCTGTCGCCCTCATCCACATCACACGCTGTGCCACCCACCCCTGGGTCGTGATCGCGTGCGATTCAATCAACCCTCCAATTCATATGGCTGTCAGCGACTCTAAACGCTTCAATTGGCGTGCGTCGGGACCTGATCCCTTCACAACACGACTCTCACACCCGGACTCTAAGCCACCTAACGCTTGAGGATTCCAAGGGCGTGATCAAAGTATCGTGGTTGTCTCGAAATTATATGACGACAGTTACGCCACAGCCTCGCTTTGTCGAGACATGGAATGCACTGCGAAACCAGACCTTGGAAACAACACAAAGCAGATTCAGAGCTTGGACGCGATTCCGGCAACATGATATCCAAGATTGACATACAAATACTCTAGTGGTAACTATGAATTCTATTCGTGTGCAACTAATTTCATCTCGATAGTGTTTCCAGCTTCAATATGCAACTTCGCCCTTTCCAAAGCATCATCAACTCTGCAAGTCGGAAATGCCGTCCTTCGGTACTGACACGAGGCATGGAAGGTGCACTTGGAGCTATGACAACTTCAATGTCAAGACGTGAAACTCTAAAGACAGCAAAACTCAGCGACCAACATGCCACTCCTGGTGCACACCCGATCCTTAACTATTTCTCACGACAGATGCTCAACGCGCGCCAATCTTTATATCGCTCCTTGTTTCGCACACGCTTTCCTACCCAACGAGTAGCATCAAAATTCCCATCGATGGTGACCACAAGAAACAAAAACTATACCTACGACAACGTCCCCCAGGAACGGGGCGGACTGGCGGCAGCAACAGAGTCACTCGATGATCGGCGAGCAAGGCAGGCGCATCTTCTCCTTTCGAAACACTACGAGCCCGTCATCTCTGAGGTACTCAACGAAGAGATACCCAAGTACAAGAATGGCACTACCATCAGTGCAACAGACCGTGTGAAGTATATACGAGAATGCGCACGAATACTCGCTTCAGAACCGCCTATCCTACTAGCGGCAGTCGACGGCGATTTGGTGCGCCGCATGCGAACTGATCCTGATCTGAAGCGAGAATACGAGCTCACCTGCAAGAATGCAGCAAAGCAGCCGTCCATATACATACACCAATTCGCAGACCTGAATGGTATTCCGCCTACTCCTAATCAAATGCTTGTCATCTGCAATTGGATAGCCGACTACATAGCCGATGATCTGGCAGAAGGCAAAGCTTCCGAGCACTTCTGGCAGATAGACAACATCTCCCCGGGAAGACCGCTGATTAACCAGCAGAACTCTGCCAAGGGTTACCGTAAGTATCTCTACACGACACATTCCAGTCGATCAAAGAAGCGTGTCGGTACCCTCGAACTTTTCTGTAAAGGTACCCAGAAACGTTGGCAGGAGACGCCAGCATCACTACGCGATACACCCTTCCGATATCCTCTTGGGGAGTGTGGATATTCTGAAAACTCAGAAAATCGTCTGAAAGAGCACCGCCAACGGAAGTCATCCAACTATATAATGAACCTAGTCGAGGACATATCCACCCACCTCCACAACATCGGCTTGTTTGAACAACACTTCAAAATGCACCAGTATATTGTCTATCTCATCGACCGGCGGGAACAAGTAGAGATCGCGGAGATCTTTTGCTCCGCATTACTTCGAGTGTGGGTGAGTAGCGGCGGTGGTTTCAACTCGTACCCTGCTGGGCTTAGCGTCAACTCTTCGAAGAAGGTCAGCAATATTGACTGGGCTTCGTACGAGATGAACACCACCTTGCACTCCCCCATCACCGAAAACATGAGGATGCAGCAGCTCAGAGCAGATGAGTACCGACAAGCACTGGAGTGGACGAATGACAACACTGTAGATTCGGAGACGAGAGAGCCAGCAAGCCAGGAAGAAGAGTGCATGTAAGTTGAACTACTGAAGGGCGCAGGTCAGGTACTGACGTAGCGATTGTAGTGCTCATCTCTCACAGCTATCGATGTAAACCCACTACCCTCGACCATAACTGCTATATCCTAATATACTTCTCATCACTAAACCTTGCCACATTGTATGAATTCGAAATGATTCCTACTCCAGATATCACGATGTCCATTCTGTTGTGTCGCAAGTGATGTTCCGAGGTCGCCCCCCTTCGAGCCCCATAATCCCACGTCACAGTGTCGTGTATGGCCACTCTTTCAGATCAAACCAGAAAGAGCGCATCTCGCTACCAAACACGACGATGGTGTGCAATGCAGGCAAATCTGCAACGTCGCTTCTCGAAGGCCACTATTCCAACCTCCTGCATTAACCCGAGTGAATGTCATAGCATCGCCACATTACCGAACATCAACCATGTCTATGTAAGCCATCAAATTTAGTTTTGCGGAAGACACAGCATTTTTTACGGTTGATCTCGAAGATATAGAGCATTGCAGAAGTGTTTGCAATATTTAAAATAGCAAAATTCGATCTCCCACACTGCAGATATTATAGCGATCCATTTATCTAGAGCAAATCTATATTGCACATCAGATAAAAACTAACAATGAACAGAACATTCGAACACCCGAGTTCCTACCCAGCCGCCCTCCTCAAAAAGCGCCACACCCTCCCCTCCCATCTCCACATCTTCGTCGAACGACCAAGCCGACACGCAATACGCTCATCACGAGACTTCAACTACGATGCCCTCAACAAGTCTAGCATCGAAGCCCATTTCCAGCGCAACGTCGCATCGAGCTTTATCTCATTGTACGAGAGCAAAGCCACTGCCTCGAGCAAATATCCTCACACCGACAAAGTGGGACAAAAACCGCGGTCATTCGATGCCGCTGAAATGGCTATCCACACCAGTGGGCTGACAGCGGCATGGGTGACCGTAGACAAAGACGTCCGTCTTCCAGTATGGTTTGACAAAGACAAACAGGAGTCCGACAACGGAGACGACGAAGAGGTATTGTGGTTTTGCCTTCAAGAGCTGAAAGCAGTACTACAAGTCGACGAGAAGCTTGGGGAGAAGGACGAGTGGCTTGCCTGTGGATTCATCCCCGAAAGTAGGGTTGTCACTCGTCACGATTCATCGAATGAGGAGTATCCAGAGGGGGTGGTCAACGACAAGGAAATAGAAGAGGCTTATAGACAGGCTCGTCGCGACCGCCAACGCATCGAAGGGGAGAGGCTTCAAGTCGACGTGCCGGAATCCGAGCACAGACTCAAGAAGACGCTGTCTTCGGGCTTCTTGAAAGCCCCTCAGATCCCCAGCCGGAAAAGCTCTCTTGCCTCGCTGGATGGCAAAGCTGTGAGCCAGTCCAAGAAGACAGTTAGCGGGGCTTCAAAGCTTCGCGTAGATACGCGCGACGTGTCGGTCTCGCTGACGAATGCGGATCCACGGCGCGCAGCGTCGCTGATGAAGTATGCGTTGTTGCTGGCGCATGAAAAGAGGTTTGAAGCCGAAGAGTCGTGGCTTTCGGAGACGACTCGTTTGGCTGGGGGTGTAGATCGGGGGGATAGTACGAGGACAATCGATGATGTGGGTCGTAGAGAGAGGCGAAGCGGGTTTGTAGAGCGTCATAATGAGGCCTACTTGACGCCGCCGCAATCACCAATTACCTCATCTGGACGAAGGGGCATGCATGAGCGAAGGAGTCGTAATGGTGCTGATAATCCAGTCAAACGATACGAAATCGCTCGACAAGATGATGAACAATCAGTCCAGGAAAGGGGAAGACGTATGCGTCGCTCTGCCGCTCCATCGCCCTCGCAGTCTTTGCTAGGACATCATCTTGAAGGAGGCAACGCGTCTTCGCTTCGACCGCGTCTTTCGCGCCGTGAGCTCCTCTTTGAGCTGCAATCAGACGAAGACTCTGTTCTACGAGAGTACGCAAGAGTCAGTCTGCAGGATCCCTCTTCCCACCACCACACCCGGCACGACACGCCTAATGGCGCACCCTCAACATCGACGGCCCCGGGAACCCAGCAACCACCCGACCACACCGCCCAGGGTGCAGATAACGATGAATTTAGCCCACCAGATGAATCGGTCTACTCCACCATGTCGTCTCTCTCCTCCTTGTCCGACCTCGCGCATGCTACCATCGAGGAGGCCACGTACGCTACCGTCCATCCTGGCTCCCATGTTAGGGAGATCGAGATACGGAGAAGGAAGTCGAGGCCGTCGTCTGCGGAGGCGAAGTTCAGCGAAGAAGAGGAGAGAGGGAGGAGTAGGAACGGACGGCGACAACGAAGAGTTTCGGGGGTAGCTGTAGAAGCACCAGCGGAAGAGGATGTGGAACCTTTTCCTACTTTTGATCCGATCGTACCGGGTCACGTACAGCTTTCACGGTCTGGAAGCAATGTTTCTGCGGTTGCTGTTGTTCCTTCGGCATCAACACCGATACCTCCACCAGTGGTCTTGAAATCCGAATCTTTCTTTGCTAGAAGGAAGAAACGGTTCGAGAAGGGCAAAGACGTTTCTGAGCGTTTAGCAGAGGCACAGGAAAGTCCGGCTGCAACGAAACCAAAGGTCATGAAGGATCTCTTGGAGTTTGCTGGGTGGAGGTCTGGTGATAAGAAAGATGGGTCGAAGTGAATAGGATGAGAAATGACTAGTAGGAAAAAAGGTGAGTTACATGACGAGACGAGCTGTCATGTTGGAGTTCGCTAACGGGTACACGGATCAGCGAAAGATGGAGATGCGAGTCGAGGAATAGAAGAGCGTCCCGCCATCGCCAAACCACAACATCCAAGGAAGCATCCACTCACACTTGCACCTGGAATATCATCTTACCAAAACATCGTGATGGTGAGGCGCCCTTCCCCAGTTTTCTCGTAGGTTTCCACTCGGACAACCCAACCGCCACCAACGAAACCACCACTCTACCCGCCTATCCGCATCCTACGATCCCCAACCCACATTCCCACCCCACAACAATTCGCACCGTTACCCACCCCTGATCCTACACCCGCGCATCCCTCTGCATCCGTGCTAGCTCGCTCCCTTCCCATCCCCAATGCAAACCCCTGCCTTACCCGATTTACCCGGAAGCAGTAAAACGCACGGATCCGCACACCCCAATCGAGCAATGACGTGCCGAAAGCAGTGCTGGCGAAAGTTGGCAGCGAGGCATTGGACGCGCACGTTCGGCGCCGGGGGCAATGCAGAGAAAAGTTGGCACCGTGTTCCATGGTGGACTTGTGAGTTACTGGATTAGGCATCTAGAGAAGATGACGACGGGGATGACGGTGGTTGTGACGTTGGAGGTGTCGTGACGTCGAGGGTAATTATAAATGTGGTGGACAATGCGTGCGAGAGATGGTGTAGGCGGACGGAGCGGAAGGATTGCGCGGTGCGGTGATTGGGTGTGGTGCAACATTAAATCACCATCATCGATGTATTTGCAACATCGAGATTACCATATCGCGATGTTAGTTGATTGTTCGTGAAGTTATAAGTGCACTGGTGATGAATTGCTTGTTCACATGCTACTTCGTGCATTACTATGGATGCGTGAGACGTGGTGCTCACAATAGGCCCGACCATGCCTGCCTGAATTCCCCAAAGGACCGTTTTCGTATGAAGACACCCCATCGCTGCTGCCTACGCATGTACTTTGCTTGCGCCTCTACGCGCGGCTTTGTAGGCAGTTGTATAGGCTTTAGCCGCGATCTCTGGTGTGCGACGACGACAGACTCTAGCCCCAGTGAGGTGCAGCATGTTGGCTCCTGCGTTGTCGGTTGTCAAGATGATCGGACCGTGGCGGGGGCTTTGAGAAATCGATATTGTGACCATGCCCTATAACGGGACTGGTTATTGTTCGGAAGGATACTCCCTCGGAGCTGTTCATCCAGGTTGTGGGCTAGCCATGCCACCCTGGTAAGCACTGGCAAAGTCTAGTTGTCCCAGCTGGCCATTAATCTGGTCGATCTCTTTGTTCAAGTCTTCCACATTCTGCGCCAAACTGGATACTTCGTCGAATCTTCGGTGTTTGGTGGCATCAGCGACCATTTCAGATACTATGAACTTCTGTTCCTCAAGAACGATCAATCGTTCTTTGAGTTCTTTCTCTTCTGATTCCATTGCGGAGACTTCGCTACTACTCACGACACTACCCGTGGAGCGGTCGTTGTACTTGATAGAGGCAAGGGCGCCGACTCCGTTTGGTCGACCTTGCGGGGCTGCATGCTTGAGAATCTTTGGTAACGCTCTGAGCGGTAGCATGTGTAAGCTCAAGAAGCTGTACGCTTGCTGATATACCGCTCTTTGTAGCTTCTGCTGTGTCGGCGAATCAGTGGGAAGGTCGCGTATTCGTTTCGCTGCGACATCGAACTGTGCAAACCCGTCCATTAATCGTTTGCGCACTTTGGTCGCGTCAGTCAACTGCTGCGGCGTGGGTGACTTGTCTGGGTCTTGCAAGGCCTGCAGGAGCTTGTGGAATCGTGGAAGGAGTAATCGGATGCCACGTTCGAATTGCGCAAGGTTCTCGTATGCACGCTGGTCCTTTGGCTTGTCGGCTAGCTCGCGCTCGAAGTCGCCTCTAGCGAACAACGTGTGCTGGCAGTCTTTGCACATGCGCACGTCAACACTCATCTGCGCAGCATCTTTTTCAGTCGTCTGCGTGCTAGCAACGTTAAGACCTATCTCCGAGGAGCAGCCAGTCTTGGGGTCGCTGCACACGACGCGTCCGCACATGCGACAATGTGATCTTCTGAATGTGTATGTCGAGAACTCCTGCTGACAGAAGGGACAGTTGGGAACCTTGGCGTCTTCCTCCCACGTGATTATTGATTGCTCCAGAGTCTTGCGTTGATTCTTCACACCCGGTAGCGAGAACCAGCTCCCTGCAGTCTGCGTTTCTTCTATCAGAGGCGGGTTTGCGAGAAGTTGCGTCAGCTTGGTAAGACGCTTCTCGAGCCGGCTGACTTCCATGCGCTCTCTGTCTACCCGTTTCCGTCTGATCTTGGCGAATTCGTCGAAGTGGTCGCGCTCGAAGCCGTGGTGATCGTTGTACCCGTCTCTCGACTTGTAGCATGTCTCGCACACGCGACACCAGACGCCTCGGACAGGATCGTGCTTGGCCTGCCGCGAGAGCTTCATCTGGTACATGGTGTGTTCCTCGCAGAACAGCCTGCCACACTGTCTGCAGTTGACTGCTGGCTGACTCCCGCCTAACGCCATTTGTGATGCTGTGACGGGCCTCGCGCACATGGGGTCTGAGCAGACATCGCGGTAGCCGGGCCTCTGCCAATGTGATCGCGTGACTTCCTCCTCGGGGTCTCGGCGGACGGGTGCGGGTTCGTGGGGAACGTGGGCGGTCGAACTGCTCGCGGAGTGGGAGATCTGGGGTGGCGTAGGGACGTCGTTGGATTCGAAGACGTCGAGTCCCTTCAGCTTCTGGTTGAGCACGGCGAGCGGCTGGAACTTCTTGGCCTTGTGCATCTGGGCCTCGAACCAGTTCTTGACCTCATCCTGCTCCTCCACGACCAGGTTCTGGTGGTTGTCGTCGAGATGTCTACTACTGGTCAGGGCTAACATACTGGGCGGATATGAGGCGGCGCTACCTGTTCAGTTGTAGTAATGTTACCTGCTACGTCAGACGACTGTTCTTGCTGCAGCAGGTGCTATGAACCCACCATTTCCTCATTGCATATCGGGCACACGAGTCTGCTGGAGGCACTCGCCGCGGCATTCTCGCTCGGACCCACCAGGACCTTGCTGCCGATATCCTCGCGCGTCTCTGCGGTGCTGGCGGGGCTGTTGGAGGCCTGCGAGTTGAGCGAGACGGAGCTCTCAGAGGGCGAGAGCAGGCTCGCGTTGCGGCGGTGGGCGGCTGCAGGCTGCAGAGGTGCAGCGGCGGGCGACAGGTTCCTCCCGCTGCCGAGGACGCGGCCGCCGCCCAGGGACCTGCGCGAGGTCATATTCGGGAGTGTCTGCTGGAGTCGTGAAGGTACATGGGCCGGCATGGGTAGGCTAGGGCGTGGGTCTTGGGCGCGCCGTTGCAAGGGCCGCTAGGGATGCGCTGCAGGACCACATGCCGGCATCTTGGAAACGCGTCCCCGTCCCGCAGTCGCACCATCCAGGGAGACATGGCTAGTGGCAGCGAGGGAACCATTATTGCGTGATTGCGAGATGCATGCGATAAGAAAACTCTACAGCCCAGCCAGCCCGGCCGACGTCCTCAGCACGGCCTTGGCAATGACGCGGAATCGCGACATGGCTATCTCCGCGCTGCATGCTCCATCTCCGCAACACTCTCCGCACCATGAAAGGCCCCTACCCCGAGATCCAGGGCGGCGGCTCTCTGATTCTCGCATGGCAGATCCGCAATAAGCGCGTCCTGGTCGTCGGCGGCGGCGAGGTACGTCTACTCCCCCAGGCCCCTTGCAAAGTATTGACAGTTGACAAAAGTCTAGGTCGCCGCTGGTCGCATCGTCAACGTGCTCAATGCCGACGCCAAAATCACCCTCGTCTCACCGCGCGACGGCCTCAACGAAGAAGTCGCCTACCGGATAGAACAGGGCCAGGTCGACTACATCGATCGCAAGTTTGAGCCCCAAGACCTCGATGGCGTCGACATGGTCCTAACAGCCGTCGACGATCCCGAGGCCTCGTCGCAGATCTACAAGCTATGCAAGGAGAGGCGGATAGCAGCCAACATCGCCGACGTCCCGCCCGAGTGCGACTTCTACTTTGGCAGCGTGCACCGCGATGGGCCGCTCCAGATCATGGTCAGCACAAATGGCAATGGCCCCAAGCTCGCCAACATCGTCAGGAGGCAGATAGCAGCTGGGCTACCATACAACATCGGCAACGCCGTGCAAAGAGTCGGCATGCTGCGGAGGAAGCTGCGAAAGGTCGCTCCGAACATCGAGGAGGGCCCAAAGCGGATGCAGTGGTATGTTGCTTACATCGCATCCGGAAGGTACCCACTGACTCAGCCAATGCAGGATGTCCAAGGTGTGCGAACAATACTCGCTCGACGACCTCTGTGCCATGACCGAGGAGGACATGGAGATGCTCCTCGGTTTCTACAGACCCGGAACCGTGCCGACGCTCGAAGAAGTACGACTGCAGGAAGCAGACGGAGCGTACGACGGGCCTTTCTTGATCTGATTGCATATGGAACCGGCGTTGGGTAGACAGCATACAATAGGTATGAGCGGGAGTTGCGGCGACGCTATCAAATTCTTGTATATCAATTGTACACTCTCCTACGCTCTCACCTACCTCCTAGAAGTTTCCATTGCCTCGGAATTTCGTAAACTTTGCTTTCTATACTAATGCAGGCGGCAGCGCACCTGTTGAGCTATCAGCTGGCCCAAGGTGCCCCAGTGGCTCCTTCCTCGTCCCATCTCCTCCGGTCCTGTCAGCCAATCAGCATGAGCTGGCCCAAGCGTCAACTTCCCGGCACTTGCCCGTTGATAGCCTCCCTCACCACATCGTGCAGACTACACCACAGCAACGCTACGAATTCTACGCTGCATTGCTCACATGGCGGCCTCAGAGAACACGATGGATCTTTCGCAGCGACCACCTTACGACACCGTCGATTTCAAGGCCCTCACCAAGAGCGACAAGGTATTCAAACAACTATGGCAGCGAACGTCTGGAAAATTGGATTTCCAAGACCCTGAGACTGCCCAGGTCCTATCAAAAGCTATCCTGAGAGTCAACTTTGGCCTCCAACTAGACGTGCCAGATGATCGCTTGTGCCCGCCAATTCCCAATCGCTGGAACTACGTAGCCTGGCTGCATGGTCTGATTGACTCGACATCACCAGACTATTCCGGCAAGTACGACCCAAATCGTCAAGTTCAAGGCCTGGACATTGGTACCGGGGCTTCCGCCATATACACTTTGTTGTGTCTGAGATCACGTCCAAGTTGGTCAATGTGCGCTACGGATATCGACAAGAAGAGCTTCGACTCAGCAGCTCGCAACCTCGCGCTCAACAACTTCATGACACGTACCAAGCTACTCCAAACCACCGAGTTGAACCCAGTGATACCACTGGCAGCCCTTGGGGTAGACCGTCTTGACTTCACCATCTGCAACCCACCCTTCTTCACCGACGTGTCCGATATGCAGTCTAGCTTGAAGGGTGAAGGAAAGAGCTGGAAACCCAACGCCGTATGTACCGGCTCAGAAAACGAGATGGTCTGTCTCGGTGGCGACCTAGGCTTCGTCACGAAGATGGTCAACGAAAGTCTTGTTTTGAAGGACAAGGTACAGTGGTATACCAGCATGTTAGGCAAGATGGAGAGCGCCAAGTCTATCATCAATCTTCTGAAGAAGCACGGCATCACCAACTGGGCGGTTGGCACCATAGAGGTCGGATCAAGCACCAAGCGATGGATCGTTGCGTGGAGCTTCGGCGACCTCAGACCAAGAAACAGCCACGCGCGTATAGAGCGAATGGCCAACGAGTACCTCCCGTTCCCAACATCGTATCCCATTGCCCTGCCACCTGCAGTCGAACCTCAGGCTGCCAAAGATGCCATCAACACCCAACTCGAATCGCTTGACCTGACCTGGACCTGGGATCCTCTTACATCTACCGGTATCGGCGAAGCTAGTCAAAACGTATGGAGCCGCTCCTATCGCCGCGCATATGAACGTAAACAGAAGGAAGGACTTGTCGATATGAAGGAGGATTCCGCACGAAAGATTGAGCTAGCCTTTCGTATTCGGGTTGTAGACCTGGCGCGGGAAGTCGTTGTTGAGTGGCTGAGAGGCACGGACCAGGTGTTGTGGGAGAGTTTGTGCGGCTTGATACACCGTCACTTCAAGAAGTCCTGAACGCCGGTAGAGGTGCTTGCTGCATACACACTTCAATCTACACAAATGGGTAGCTTCCGAGTTGATGTAGCTTCAAGAATTCCTTTTTTAGGATACGACACAGATCATAGCGTTGCAAATAGGAAACCTTCCTGTCAGGCTGCTGTTGTGGCATCGCATCAGCATATGTCAGCTTATCCTTGGCGTCACGGTGCTTCCTACCACTCTGGAACCTTTCTACTCAAACCATCCAACAGTATTGAGGTTACGTACTTTAACGCCCGGCCATGCGGTGTCATACGCCTCCAACACGCATACTACGCCTTTTCGAAACCCGTGCCTCAATATCAGCACATTTTGCCGGCGTAAGGAACGCCCTTTTCAACTCCCCATCGTTGAGCCTTTATCATCTTGAAGATCTTCTTTCTTTCCTCATTTCCGGACATCTCATCATCCCTTACCCATTAAACCGCCATCCGAAAGCCTCCTGCGCGATCAAAGCCAATCAGCGAGAATGCGCGTCCCTATCGTAACCCTCCTTCTCACCACCCTCACACTCATTACGACAACTTCCGCGGCCGTCATAGTGGAGTGTGGAGCTGTGGCTCCCATGAGCACTTGTTTGCAATCGTGCCCTGGAAAGTGCGTTCAGGCGAGCAGTTATGTGTGGTGCAAATGTCCCTGGGCCCAGGGCGGAGGTGGAGGTGGAAGTGCGTAAGTGCGTAAGTGGTATGTTAATCTCCACTTCAAATAAACAGACCACATCATCTGATGCGTATGCAGGCTAGAACAAAAGAATTGGAAATGGGTGAGGAGGAAGACAGCGGCGGGAGTTGGGCTTGCAAAGAAATGGGAATGGTAGGTTTCCCAATTGGGCATGGAAGAAGTTGGAAGCAGAAGGAGTGTGCTTTTCGCTGGTATGACAAAGGAATTCGTCGCTGCATGTGTGTAAAGATGACAACCTAATGCATACATGTGTCATGGAAACACATCCCTTGCATCACTCACCCTTTCATCTCCCTACATCTTAATATCCTCCCTCATCAATCTCATAGCTCATCTCCTTGCACCCAAACACACTACAAGATAAATACTGCATCAGTCCACTCAGCTTCCGTTGCCTTGCAGTACAACCTTTTCATCCTTACATCTACACTACCAACAATGCATCTACAACACCTCTTCATCATCATGCTCCCAACCATCGCCACCGCTATCGCTCTACCTCAGAGCGGCGGAATACATGCAGGTGGTGCATGCGGCGAAGTTGCCCTCACCGGTTACTGCCATGCAAACTGTGTGCACGGTCGCTGCGTTGCTTCCGGTACGACTCTGAACTCGGGGTTGTCGATCTGTGTCTGTCGATAAGAGGCTTTCCAGCAGGTGATTAAATGTTACGAATGGGGAGGAACAGTAAGTACCCCGATCTTTCGGGCGCATCGGTCGCTAATGTTGTAAACATAAGGTGATAGGCCGGCGATGCGAATAAAAAGGCGAGATGACCTCAGCGGACGTTAGAAGCAGGGTATAGCAAGAAAATTCCTCAGCTTCCGGGGGCTACAGCTTAAGGAAGTATGCTGATGGCGTGATGTATGAGTGAGAGTGGGCAAGACAACAAGAGACGGCAGTGTGGTCAGATAGTCCAAAAATTATGACGTGAGACGTGAACCAAAGCTCCGATTCTAGCAATCCCTTACGTTTTACTTCCCTAAAGAACACTCTTTTCCACTATCCAACTCCCAAGCCAGCTGCACAGGAAGAATAACTACCACTCTCAACCATCAAATCAACCACCAAAATCATTATGCATCTCCAACCCATCCTCTTCGCCCTCTTTACTCTTTCCTTCGGCCTCGCAGCCGCCTCTCCTACCCCCGCAGACGTCAAATGCGGTTCCTTGGTCTCAGCATCTGCATGCCGAGCTAGCTGTCCAGGGACATGCGTGCAGAAGGGCGAGATGGCGAATACGGTGATGACATGCAAATGCTAAGAGACTTGATAAAGGATAAAGAATGATAGGAATGGAAAAATGTAAGTGTGGAGCAAAGATACTAAAGAAAGGTGTTGCTAACGAAGAAGAGAGTGAGACGAAGGTCGATGGCCGGGTAAAGCAGAGGAAGTGAGCAAGCAGTTTCGCGGA